CCACAACGCCCGGCTATTTTTTGGTTGCAGCCGTCATTGTTGTTTGGCGGGCCCAGGCTGGATTTGAACCCGCCACCTTGGGTGTACATGGCTGGCGCCTTGGCCACTTGAGCCACAGGTGCCAAACCTTCCGTTCTGTTTTGTCACAATCCAAGCCTCTGTTCTTTCTGTTACTTCATGATGGTACATAAGCCTCTGTGCCCCATTGGTGGGTTAGTTAATCACTCTGATGCTTCTGATGTACACATTTAGAAATTGTGTATGCCTTTTATCTAATTAATCTGCCTTTCATGAGTTTACTTCTCAGCAAAGCTTCAGAGGATGAAGGGGAAGTTTTACCCTTGACCTCCACGTTACTAGCCAAAGGGGTTCTCAGCCCACAGCCCAGGAGGAATCCAATATACTGAGACAGCAGAGAAAAAGCTTAATATTGCAAGGCAGTACGCAGGGAGACAGAGGGATATTTCTTCAGTCTGCTCCCCCAGAATTTGGGGGCTAATGTTTTTAAGGTAATTTGGTGGACAAAGGGTTAGGGAATTGGGTCTGCTGATTGGCTGGGGATGAATTAACAGGATTGGAAAGCAGAAATTTTCTTCTTGTGCTGAGACAGTTTTTGGGTAGGAGGGTCATAGTGTTACAGGCCAGCCAGGTTGATTGCCCACTGCTCAAGAGGAAGCCACTGAGATAGCAGGTGTTACAGAAGAGAAAGAATTTAATGTCACAGGTGCCATGGAAGGAAACAGGAGGAGATTTTCAAATCCATCTCCTTAAAATTTTTGGAGAAAGGGTTTTTATTTTTATTTATTTATTTATTTTTTGAGACAGAGCCTCAAGCTGTCCCCCTGGGTAGAGTGCCACGGCATCATGGCTCACAGCAACCTCCAACTCCTGGGCTCAAGTGAGTCTCCTGCCTCAGCCTCCCAAGTAGCTGGGACCCACTGCACCACCCAGGCACCCGCTGCAATACCCAGCTATTTTTTTGATTGCAGCTGTCATTGTTGTTTGGTGGGTCCTGGCTGGATTTGAACCCGCCACCTTAGGTGTATGTGACTGGCAGCTTAGCCACTTCAGCCACAGGTGCCTAGCCAGGAGAAAAGGTTTTTAAATATAGTTTAGCAGGGAAAGGGCTAGGCACTTGGGTCTTTTGATAGTCTGCGTTCAGGTGGAATCATAGGGGTGTAGAATTTTTTTTTTTCCTTTTGGTAAAGACAGAGTCTCTCTTTATTGCCCTCAGTAGAGTGATATGGCATCACACAGCTCACAGCAACCTCTAACTCCTGGGCTTAGGCAATTCTCTTGCCTCAGCCTCCCAAGTATCTGGGACTACAGGTGCCTGCCACAACGCCCGGCTATTTTTTTGTTGCAGTTTGGCCGGGGCTGGGTTTGAACCTGCCACCCTCGGTATATGGGGCCAGCACCCTACCCACTGAGCCACAGGCACTGCCCATGGGGTGTAGAAATTGACTCCTTGTGCTCAGTCTGTTCCTAGGTGGGGATCACAAGACTAGTTGTGTGAGTTCTGTGGTCTGGGTGGTTCAGCTGATCCACTGGAATGCAGGGCCTGGGAGATACTTCAAAAACTAGCCTTTGGTTTCATAAAGTGTTGTCTATGGGAGCACTGAAGAGAGCTAAGGATCTTTATGACCATCAGCATTATGACTCCTGAGTAGTGGGCAATTACAGGAAAGCAAACTAGGGAACAATGGCTGGATGTGTGAGTGCGTGCACACACACACACAATGCCTATACCTTTGCAGAGTTCAGGGCCCCATCACAGTTCTCACTTTCTGGCCCTTTGTTAATTTTTTATTTTATTTATTTACTTTTTGTTGTTGCAGTTTTGACTGGGGCTGGATTTGAACCCGTCACCCTCGCTATATGGGGCTGGTGCCCTACCCACTTAGACACAGGCACCACTCTGTTAATTTTTTAAAGGTTGGTTTCAACAGGATCTGTTGAGTCAGTTCCAATGCATGGCCACCGGTCTGGTTGGCATTAGTTGGTCCCTCTGAACGCAGTGTCTGGATGATATCTCAAAGCCCAGTCTTAGGTTTACAACAGGGATGTTCTCTTTAGAAGTGATTGGAGATGTCACAAATCTTACGTCTGTCAAGAATATGTGACTTTTAAGTAGGAAGTAATTACAGAAGGCAATCTATAAAGCAATCACTGGTTGACTGTTTGCTATGTCTATACTTCTGTAGAAAGCAGACTTTGACCACAGTTCCTGCCTATGGCCTTACATTAAGGTGTTTTCACCGATATCAGCGTTCCACAGGGACTGAGAATGGCTAGGTTTAAGTTTTAGAGGCAGGGGTGGGATTGATTCAATCAGAAAAAAGGTTACTTGAATTCACAGTCTGGCCCTGGCACTGAGGTAGGTGCTGAGGATTTTGAGATGAAGAAGTCTGAGCCGCTGCCTTGCAGGGTCTTCTACAGAGA